AATTTTTTCAGAAGTGGTAGCAAAAGTGGACCGTGACACAAAAGCTCTGATGCCAGCCGAAGAAACCGTAAAAAGACGATTAAGGAGACAAAAATCGAAAAACAATCCAATTAATCCTAACCATCTTAATCAATTAGTTATTGAGAATGATTGGTGTTATTTGGATGACAAATTAACACGATTTTTGTTGCACGATAACGGAATTGACGAAACTGAACGGATAATTGTTTTTGCAACAGATAATTGTTTAAAATATTTAACTGAAGCTTCTATCTGGTATATGGACGGAAATTTTTCAATGGCTCCACTAATATTCCAACAACTCTACGTCATTCGTGTTAAAGTACATAGTGTTTTTATAACAGCCGCTTTTATTTTACTTAAAAATAAAACAGAATCGAGTTACGAAGAAATGCTTAAAATCATAATACATAAATTTGCTGAAAGAAATTTGTTTCCGGATCCACAAATAATTAATGTGGACTTTGAAAAAGCAGTAATCAATGCTATAAAAACTGTTATTGGAGAAGATGTACAAATCCAAGGATGCTTTTTCCATCTCTGTCAAAGTACACACAGAAAAATACAACAGTTAGGTCTTGAACAATTGTATAGGTCAAATGAAGAGTTTGCCCATTTTTGTGGCATGTTAGACAGCCTGGCGTTTTTACCAATAAATGATATTAATACAGGTAACTAGATAAAACTTAAAATATCATTGTATTAGAAAAACGGTTCTGAGCGAAGACATTGTGTGTATATAAAATATAACGATATACTCTAAAAGTTTCATATACCAACAAATAATATCTTAAAATTATAACAAAAAAACCAATATCGTAATTTAATTTTGTGCAAAGTAGTATGTAGATACACTTTAACATAGTACTTTAAAAAATTAAAACTTCAAATGTCTATAAATAGCTTGTTTTTTTCAAGGCTTAACCTATTTAAAAAGTGTCATGCCTGAAGAAGCTACAGATTTGGTCGAGTATTTTGAGCGCACATATATAGGGGCGTATAGAAGAGTTGGGAACGGGCAATCGGAGACACGAATAAAATTGCGAAAAACATCTCCTAATTTTCCACCATCTGTCTGGAATGTAAGAGACGCAACATTAAACAACGGAGATCGGACTAACAATATATGTGAGGGATGGAATAATCGGTTTTCAAACTTAGTAAGTACATTTTTATTATTAGGTATTAAAATTCAATTATTCAATATAATTTATTTAATATTTATTTAGGTGAATCACAAGCATCCGACAATTTGGACATTGATTACAAAGATGAGGCATTAAAATGCAGCAGACGAAACTAAAGTCGCACAGCGTCAACTGGGTACCATTGGACCAACGAAAAAAAAAATGAAACATAATAACATATTAAAAAATATTTGCCAAGAATATGATGATGGTAGTAGAAACATTGAAAATTTTTTGAACGCTATTTCTTATTTTATTAGAAAATAAAATTGTATATTTTTTAAAACGCTTTTCTAAATTTTTAGAAAATAGTGTAGGTATAGTGATTTTTTAGATAAAATTATTTTGCGATATTATTACTATACCGTAATAATAACGTAATTTATATATTATATAATACATTTATACTTATATTATTATTATATATTATATTTTTATAATTAAATAATTTGGTATTTGAACTTTTTGATTAGTAAGGACTTAAAGTTTAATCTACTTATTCACGGAAAAACTGATACATTTGGATATTTTGTCCATGGATATTTTGACCGTTAGATATTTTGTCCTTGGATATTTTGGTTTGGATATTTTATCCGTGGATATTTTGTCCTTGGATATTTTGTCCTAGAATCATTAAAATTTGAGAGTTAAAAAGTTACTTTTTTTAATAACTAATGAGTAATGAGTAATAATTTATGTGAAAATTTAACTTATAAAATTATGAAATATACTGAAATTTAGCACTTTTATTTTTTGTAAACCTGTTTGGAGTTTTGGAATACATTTCAATTTTAAATGTTTTTTTAAAAACTATTACATAATGGCTAATATAGTAGTTAATAAATAATAGTTATACCTAAAATATCTAACATTCTAACTTACAATTGTAAAAAATTAAATAGCGGAAAATATTACTGCACTACAATTAATTAATTATATGTATAACTATAGGTAAATAAATTAATGAACATTGTAATGTTTGTTTATAAGAATTCAATGACTTAATCTAACTATTCTATTTCCATTTCTATTTTTTAGAGAGTACATCCATTCATGTTAAAGGTCCTTGAAAATGCTATAAATGAGGGAAAATCTAATTCAAGTCGGCCAAAAAAGAATATTAACATTGAACAATCTGAATGTATACAAAAAACATCAGTTCAATCAACACTTGAGTGCTATTCATCTGGTAAAGGTAAAGAACACACAAAAGTAACACAGAAAAGTTTAGACAAACTATTGTTGGAATTTGTAATTAGTGAAACTCAACCTTTAAGCATAGTAGACAAACCTGCATTTGTAAATTTAGTAAAACTAGGTTTGCCTAATGAGTTAAAAGTCATGTGTAGAAAAACGATGAAATTGCGTATTGATAATGTTTACTCAACTATGGTTGATAATCTTATAGCAAAATTATCAAATGTTGAACATGTTGCTACTACCACAGATAGTGGTTCTAATTTTGTCAAAGCATTTAAATCGTATCAAAATTCCAATGATACAGATGATGAATCCGATGAAAACGAAGATTGTAATGATGATGAAGTGATAGACTTGTTTGAAATCTTGAGCAATGCCACAGAAGAAGAAAATGATTTGTATATCCAATTACCTCCACATTATAGATGTGCAAGCCATACATTGGATTTAATCGCCAAATGTGATATAGATAAAATGATAAAAAGTGCTGATACTCCATTCAAAAACTGCTATAGAAAAGCGCTTGCCAAATGCTCATCGTTGTGGACAAAACAAAACATGTCTTCTTTGGTTGCAGAAAATATTCACAATTTATTTAATGTTTATCTAAAAACTCCCAACAAAACCAGATGGAATGCTACATACGATGGATTATTACAAATAAAGAATATCTTATCAAGCTTAAATGGAATCGAAAAAATTAATCAAGCAATGGACTACTGTGAAATTCAGCGATTCACAACCCAAGAAATTAAGCTAATTGAAGAATACTGTGAAGTTATGGCACCACTCGCTGAATCTTTAGACTTTTTGCAGGGGGAAGATGGTATGTTAATGGGTTATTTGCTACCAACTCTTTATGCTTTAGAAAAAAAAATGACTATTTTAGAACAAAAAAACTTGCAATTTTGTAGTCCAATTGTCAAGACAATTAATTCATTAAAAAAACGATTTAGCTTAGTATGGAATAAAAAAGAGCTCATTATAGCGTCATGTTTAATTCCACGATTTAAACTTGTTTGGCTTGAGGGTAGCAATTATTTCACAGCAGAAGCATGGCTCAAGACTTTATTTGAAAATGTGGATGAAATGACTAATTCAGAGAACAGTGAAAGTGACTATGCCCCAGAAGACTTTTTCTGTTTACCAGTTGCTAAAAAGAAATCAAAAAAATCCTCATGCATGGAAGAAATTGAATTGTATTTGAAGTCCAATTGTCAAGATTTATCTTTGCTACATACACACCCAGCAGTATTAAAAGTTTTTTTGGAGTATAACACACCAATCCCGTCGAGCGCACCAGTTGAAAGGCTTTTTTCCACAGGGTCAAATGTTATGACGGTAAAAAGATACAAGTTAAGTGATTCATTGTTTGAAAAATTAGTTCTTCTCAAACAAAACAAAATATCAGTTTAAAAATATTTTTTCATCTTTATTATAAATAAAAATAATATGTATATAAATATTTTGACTTAAAAGTTTTAAGTAAATTGATGAATTGTTTTTTTCATTCTTAATTTCCATTTTGTAGAATAAGAAATAAATTGAATTAAAAAAAAAAACAGATTGTTGTGTTAAACATTTATACTATTATCTCTATGTCCTATACTCCTATGGGCTATAACCTATAGCATGTCTCTATGTGTGGTGTATCGTGTATAGTATACACTGTATACTATACTACGATAGTAATATACATGTATAATATTATGCAATAATGCAATATGGATATATATTTATATTTATATAGATTATAGAGTATAGACAGTGTTCATACTTCACATTATATATTTATATTGATCATTGAATATTGATTATTAAATAATAAACAATTCTGAGTGAAGGAGTGTATTTTTAGTCAAAATAATAAACTTTTTATCGGGGAAAGTTTCAAGTCTACGCTTTACAACTTTTGAATTATAACAAATAAACCTAAGACAAAATACAAATCATTTTTGTTAAAAATCGGTGCTCTTAGAAAGGAGTTAGTTAACCGATTTCAGTGGTGGTCAATGGTGTTTTTTGTGAAAAATGTTTAAGTCAGAACTCAGAAAACATCGGTTAACTCTCTCGGTCCGATTATTCCCGACTTCAAAATTGTTCGCAAAAAACACCATTGACCACCACTCAAATTGTAAAAAATGTGTAAAGGAACGGGAGCGCGTTCCTTTTTAAAAAGGAACGGGAACGCGTTCTTTTTTCGCGAAAGGAACGAAGAACGGGAACGAGTTCCTTTTTTACAGTAGGAACGAGGAACGGGAACGAGTTCCTTTTTAAAAGGAACTTTCCCAACACTGCACCATGTATATTTAAGCAATGCTATTAAGGTTTATGATCACAGTCTTATGATATTGTAATTTTATTATTATATCTATAACCGTGTATGGTTTTATGAATTATAATATTATTATTATTAATAATATTATGGGTACCATAGGCAGTGGCGTGCCCAAGGGGGGGAGGTTAGGGGTTATATCCCCCCCCCCATTGGATTTTTTTTGTTAACTTCAACTTATTAGATATTACCATAGACGTATACAAACATTTATATATGGATATGGATATATTACTTTATATATTACTTTTAAAATTATCAGTTATAAGTTATTGCTTACAAATTATTTCCCATTGGCTATTATAAACATTCACTATACGGATTATACTGATTATAGATCAGTGATTATGTTTTCATGTTCATGAGCAATAAATCCTCTAAGTAATAATTAATAATTAATTATGTTTATGATATGATAGAAGATAGAATGATGTATCATGCTAATCACGTATACTAAAAATATAAGGTCTATGGGTAAATCAGTGGTTACCAATCACTAATCAGATATAAATTATCAGCTACTTCAATGACCAGTTCTTATCTCTCAGTAGATCATAATATAATTGTGATATTCTATTAATAGCTAATACTCTATTATTGTTACTTTGTGATAATACCAATTGCAGTGATAGTATACACTATACTTACATACAACATACTTACAAACATTGTTATTTATTGTTTAAGTATTTGACATTTAACAATTTTAAGTTCTTTTATTTATAATGGCAAAACGTGATGGATCGATTATGTCATTTTTGTCAAAGAAACCTAAAGCTGATCAGAAGGTAAGTTGGTATTGAAATATTAAGATTGTAAATAATATTATGAAAAAAATAAGTTTATAAAGTATTATACAATTATGTAGTTTAATTTTATATTATGTAATTTAATTATAATAGTTAAGTTTAATGTTTGCATTTATATTAAATAAATAATCAATGTAATTATTATTGTTTTATGTTATAAAATATTGAATCACCTGAAGCTATAGTAAAATAGTAAAATTAGCTAATCCGAAAAACGAATCAATTCAATTTTAAAATTTTTAATATAGCAAATTAAAACTCAACATATTGATGATGATGATACCATTGATGATCCTGAACCTATGGTCTCAATCACATGTTCTAAACCAGAATCCGAAAATCCTCAAAATCCTATTTCTAAATTGTTAGATCAGCAAGTCAATTGCACAGTAAGTCTACATAATATTTTGTTAATTTAAATGAGTTATAATCTTAGAAATTATTAACACTCACATATAATTATATTTATATAAAACATACATAAATATTATTACATTTTTAGATAAACACATCACTTATGGATACAGATTTTAACACAACAAATGTTGACAAATCAGACTTTTTTTATGTTGTTGATTCAATATCCAAAAATATTAAGGTAATATTCTTTTATATATCTATTTAAATCTTAAATATTTTTTTTTATTATTACAAAATAATAATAATATGTTTATATTTTGTATATACTAATGTTAATTTATATTTACCTATTTAATTTCAAAACATCATTATTGGACTTATTTAACCTAATATTCTACACTAAATAAAAATAAATTTCCATTATTTTATGAACTATTAGTTATTAAATTTTAGGAAAGTATTTTATACATTAGCTTTAACATTAATTACTCTACAATTTTTAAAATGTTTTAAAATATATTTATATTTACATTTTTCTAATACTTCTGGTTTAAAGGTATATTTATTTAAAAAAGATTTAAATTTTAAAATCTTCAATTTTTATGGAGAATGTATAATTTAATTACGTTACACATATCACTTTTAAAACTGTATGAACGATTAGTAAGTATATTAATTTGTTTTCTAATGGCTTATTTTAGATTCTCAGTGGAGCAATAGGACTTTATTAAGTTTTAATTAATCGCAGCTTATTTTAAAGTATTTGTTTTTAGGATTAAAAAATATTTTTGCTTTTACATAATTTAAGCTTATTAAAAAAAAAAAAACAATTACAAAGTAATGCACTAAAAATTGTATTATAATGCCAAATAGCTTGAAGATTTGATAACCATTTAAAGTTATTAAGTAAATGTATTTTAAGGGCTAAAGCTACTCAAAATTTAATAAAAGTTATCTTGCTTATAGGGGATTATTTAGCTTTTATTGGTCACTTAAAAATAAAACAATTATTTAATAATAAATAATACTATTATTACTGGAAAAGGATTAGCTACAAAAATATTAGAAACTCTAAGTTGTTTAAGTTTAGAAACAAAATATTTAAGGGGTCAAGGATATGATGGTGTGGCATCGATGAGTGGTACTTTTAATGGCGTAAAAGCACACATTCTTGAAAAGTATCCACTGGCGTTCTATATACACTGTACTTCGCATAGCTTAAATCTTGCAGTCTCTAATGCTTGTTCAGTGAAAAGTGTACGAAATACTATGGGAAGTATTCAAGAGATATGTGTCTTTTTTAGAACTCCCAAACGTCAACATGTGCTGGAAAAAACTATTGATAAAGTTTTACCGTCAACTAATAAGAAACGTTTGAAAATGATGTGCCCTACTAGATGGGTTGAACGCCATGATGCCATTCTAGTATTTATTGAGTTATATAAAGCTATTTTGGTGGCATTAGATGAAATAAGTGAATGGGAAGATATTCATACATCATCAAAAGCAAAACGACTTATGATAATTATTGAACAACCAGAATTTATTATAACAACACACATCATTGGAAAAGTTTTCTCTGTAAGTATGCCTCTCAGTCGCCAACTTCAGACAGAAAATATTGATTTGTTAACAGCTTTAAAAGTAGCAGGAGATGTTCAAAAAATATTACAAAGATTTAGAGGAAATGTAGTCAATGATTTTCATATTGAATTTTTAAAAATTGAACAATGGTGCCAAGATTTGAATATTGATACAGATTTTAAAAAATTAACAAGAACACAAAAAAAACTCTTAGATGAATTAGTTACTTCAACAAATAAAACAGCTGAAGATTTTTATAGATTGAAAATATATGTACCATTCTTGGATAATTTTTTATCACAGTTACATGATCGTTTTATAAAACATCATAAATTATTGCAAAGTTTTAGTTGTATTCTACCTGGCTATAAAACTCATTCAGGAACTGATCAAGATATTAAATACCTCATTGATACATATCAAGAGGATTTGAATAACAGTAGCTTAGTTATAACTGGAGAATTATATTTATGGCAAGAAAAGTGTAATGAGATTCATGTTTCAAAAAGCGCTCTTGATGTTTTTAGTGAATGTGACCATATGATATTTCCACACATACACAAATTATTAAAAAATTTAATAACCCTACCAGTCACTACCGCAACTGGTGAACGATCATTTTCCACATTAAAGCGTTTAAAGACTTATATAAGGAATTCTATTGGACAACCAAGATTAAACGACTTAGCTCTGATGAACATTCATCGAGACATTAAAATAAATACTGATGAAGTCATTGATGAGATGAGTACAAAATCTAGGAGGTTAAATTTTCGTTTGGAATAACTAAGTTGTTTTTAAGAATTATTTTTCTTTTGTATATTAATTATTTTAATAAAGGTTATAGATATTTTTAGTTTAATGTTGTTATTTTATTTAAACAATAGTGTATAGTGTATGGCTATTTAAATTAATTCTAATTGTAGAATGATACTCAATATGCATGAATGTACATATTATATATATGTTTAGCCAGGGGCGTATTTAGGGGGGGTGATATGGGTGTTAGAACACCCCCCATCATCCGTATTTTTTTATATTTTCACCAAACTCTGAATTTACTCATTTGACCGGATTTCTATGAAAGACGAAAGTAAGTATTTTATTTGTGTTTTGAAGTTTCAGCTAGCTTTTATTGAATTATACACTACCTAAAAAACGCTGTTACAGTGTTACCATCCGCTCCTTAACAGACTATCACAATCAAAATAAAGTTGGTTAGTTCGCATTCATAATATTTACATTTAGTCTAGTGATAACGGTTTCTGCTGTTAACAGTCGTGATATTCTGATATCGAGTGATATCCCATTATGATTATTCTGTGGACAAATGTTTTAAAATTCAAATTAATTTGACTAACTCGTTTTACTGTTAATGGTTTATGATTAACATATTTTACAATTATGGATTCTTCTAATAATGTTAAGAAGAGACAACGCCAAATACATACATTTTTTCAAAAAAAACTTAAAGCGGAAAGTGAAAAAAACAGTGACGTCCAAGTTACACAAGTTACACAAGTAGTTTTCAGTTTTTCTTACAGAAGTATAGTTTGTCAATATTTTAATTTTATTGTTTTGATAGATTTACAATGACTCCAATTCAAAAAATGTATTTACTCAGTCTGATGTATCAGTAAATAATACAACTATTGATTGTGAAAATATAGCACATAATCAAGTAAGCATTTTTTTTTTTTTTTTTTTTTTTTTTTTTTTTTTTTAACATAAAGAAATAACTGTTATTTTTTTTGTTTAAATTGCAGTGTAACATGTCAAATATGACTAGTACCAGTGAAGGTAATGTTTTAGTGACTATGACTGATTCAGATATTGGTTTAATTATTGGTCGACCTCGCCATCAGGTAAAAAAAAAATTAAGATTTTATTTTTGTTTCTCAATTAGGTATTTACTGTTAATTTACTTATAATCAAGCCATATTGTGAAATATGTGAATAGTATTTGAATGAATTTTTTTAAGATTAATGATGAATATTTTTATTTTTTATTATAATATTAATGGTTTGGCTAAAATATAAAATTAAAAAATGTTTTAGGCAACATGAATTATTATATAAGAGTGTATCTTAGATATAATATATCCAAACTGCATTCCAAAATGTATTCATTGACCAATGTGGGTACACATAATATGCAAATACAAATATTGCAGCTTAAAATTTATTGTAAAATATATTTTTTTGAACATGGATACCTACAATTGTATTTACATTTTATTTCTCAGGGGAGTATTATATAATTATTATATTTATAGGTTTAGATTATTGTTGTGTATGGTAGTATACATTTACATTCATTTTTTATTATTGCTTGAAATTTTTATAAATTATATTTCGCTTAATTAATATGCTTTCTTTCAAGATCAAAATCACATTGCATTGGTATGTTATTGCTTTTTTTATTGAATTGTTAAAAAAAATCCACTTTTATATTCTTAAATAATTTAAAACAGTACAACAGTTGATAAAAGTGCTGTAAGTAGTAGAACATTTCACTTATGATATAACAATTATTTATTGCTCGCTAAACATATTGGATGCATTTTTAAAAATAATATCTATTATTCTGGACTGACATTTATTAATTTGTATGACTGAACGGGTGATTGTTCTGCTTTTAAACAGTTTGCATGATATTTTATATAATTTAATATAAAAATTACATATTGTGATTTAAAATGTATATATTTTTGTAGATAAATGATACTGAGAAGTTTGAGTTTTGTGTAATTTGTCACGTCCTAGTCCCGATTATAAGTATCCTGCTAGTGGGTCAAGAAATTTGAAGTTTCAAAATAAATGGTTTTATAACTGGAAATGGTTATCTTATTCAAAGTCTTTAGATGGTGCATTTTGTGTATATTGTGTATTATTTGGTACCGATGAAGTAAAATACCAAAAGCTTGGAAAATTGGTTTGTGAAAAATATAATAATTGGAATTGTGCAGTTGAGAAGTTTAATAAACATCAAAGTTTGGTATATCATTTGACTGCTATGGAGAAAGCTAACGGATTTTTAAATATATTCAATAACAAACAAGTTTCTGTTGCTGTTCAACTTGATACAAAGTTAAAACTTGAGATTGAAGAAAATAGATTATTTATCCAACCAATAATTGAAACTATTTTAGTATGTGGGCGGCAAGGGATAGCACTGCGAGGTCATAAGGATTATGGTCCTATTCAATTTGAAACTCCATTCCCTTCAGAAAATGATGGAAATTTCCGAGCATTACTTAGGTATCGTGTAAATGGAGGAGATCAGATATTTCGACAGCGCTTACAAAATTGTCCACGAAATGCTACATACACGAGTTCAGTAATTCAAAATCAAATAATTGATATTATTGGTTCTATCATTATTAAGAAACTTGTAAATAAAATTAACCAAGCAAAATGTTTTACAGTTTTAGCTGATGAAACATGTGACATTTCCGGGATAGAACAATTCAGCCTTTGTGTTCGATATTATGATAGTGATACCAATATGATGAGAGAAGATTTTCTCAAATTTGTGCCTGTTGTTGATGTTACAGGCAATGGTTTGGCCGAAGTTTTGATAGACAGCTTAAAAAATATTGGTCTAGACTTAAATTTTTTACGTGGGCAAGGTTACGATGGGGCCTCCGCTATGCGTGGCCATTTTAATGGCGTACAAGCAGTTGTAAGGCGGTCATATCCATTAGCAGTATACTCTCATTGTAGTTCACATTCATTAAATTTAGCAATATCGGATGCTTGTAACATAAAATCAATCCGGAATGCCACAGGTACATTACAAGCTATTTATGTATTTTTTAAAACGCCTAAAAGGCAAAATGTATTGAAAAAAACAATTGACGAAATTGCACCAGAAAACAAGAAAAAAAAACTAAAGGATTTATGTCCCACTAGATGGGTGGAACGACACGAATCAGTAATGGTGTTTTTAGAACTATTTGACTCAGTTATTGAAGCTTTAGAAGAAATTTCCAATTGGGTAGATAGAGAAACATCATCAAAAAGTAATAATTTACTGTGTTCCATAAAAAATGGAGAGTTTTTATTAACTGTTCATATTCTCGCCAAAGTTCTTTCAATTAGCTTGCCTTTAAGTCGCCAGTTACAAACAGAAAACTTGGACTTGGTTAAAGCTATGGAGTTAGCCGAAGATGTGACTCACACAGCAATGGATTTAAGAAGAAAAGCTGAAGCAGAGTTTAAAGAAATTTATACTGAAGTAAGCAGAAAATGCGAAACCATGGGAGTTGCAATCACCGTACCTAGACTTACAAAGAATCAAAACCATAGATCAAACTTCACCACAAACTCCAGTGAAGAATATTTTAGGTTATCAATATACATTCCATTTTTAGACAGTTTTTCAAACCAATTAAGAGATAGATTTTTAGCTCATAAATCACTTGTTAAAAATTTTTCTTGTTTACTGAGTGTTCAAGATGATGATGAAGAAAATTTTGTTGAACTTATAAAAATATATGCAGAGGATATTGTAGTTGATGATAAAAGTGCAAAGGGTGAATTTTTGGTTTGGAAGCAACAGATTAAAAATTCCACTCCGAAACATGTGATAGATGCATTGAATAACTGTAATTCTATTATTTTTCCTACGATTCACAGGCTGTTGGTTATCTTAGCAACATTTCCTGTCACCACATCTACAAGTGAACGTTCCTTTTCAACTCTCCGTAGACTTAAAACTTATTTAAGAAATACCGTGGGAGAAAACAGGCTGAATGGTCTAGCTTTAATGAATATCCATAGAGATATACCTATATCTACGGCAGAGGTTATTGATGGACTTGCAATCCAATCCCGCCGCTTAAAATTCACCTAGGTTCTCAATTTATATTATTATTATAATCATTTATTTTTGTGATTTGTATAATAAAATAAAAGTTTAATATGACTTGTAAATTGTACACATACTTATTATAATTATTTCCGTTAATATAATAATTTACATCAATTAATGGTACTTGTTTATATTATTCAGGGGGTGTGGGGGGCAGAGCCCCCACCTTCCAAATGTCTTTTAAATTTCAAAACACCCCCGTAAAATAAATCCTGGATACGCCACTG